GATAGGGGGATGGTTTCAGTTGCATAGAAAAGTCTAAAATTAGGGGAGTGCTCAGCAGAGGTTATTAAAGTTTCCAGAACAAGTAATATGACAGAGTACGGAAAGGCTCAGGAATCAAACTTTATGCACAGTGGATGAGGGGACAACAGAAGAGGGGCAATTAATGCAGGATTGAGTGTTGTATTTAAATATGCACATTATACAAAACAAGGTAAATGAGCTTGTACGCAGATTGAAATTGGTAGGTAAAATGTTTTGGCTATCACAGTGACGTGGCTGCAAGGAGATCAGGGCTGGAAACTCAATATCCAAGGATAAGCACCCTTTTGAAAAGACAAGCAAATGGGCAGAGGGCGTGGCATTGCCTTGTTAGTAAATAATTAAACTAAATTGATAGCAAAAAGTGATATGGAGTTAGAGGCACAGAATCTGTGCAAGTACAGTTGAAGAATCACAAAGGAGAAAAGACCCTGATGGGAGATAAGTGGAGGCCACCTAGCAATAGCGAGGATATGGGGCAGAATATAAATCAAGAGATTGAAAAGGAATGCAAGAAAGGAACTATTACAAAATCATGGAGAACTTCAATATACAGGTGGGAAAATCTGTTTTGGAGCGGATCCCAAGAAAAGGAATGCTTGAAATGTATACACAATTTTTTTCTGGAGCAGCTGGGGTAGAGTCCATGAGGGAAAAGGCATTTCTTGTTTTGGTCATGTGTAATGAGGCAGACCTGACTAGGAAGCTTAAAGTGAAGGAACCCCCCAGGAACAATGACCATAATATGATAGAATTCACCCTGCAGTTTGAGAGGAGAAGCTGGAATCACATGTAGCAGTATCTCAATTGAGTAGGGATAACTACAAAGACATGAGGGAAGAGCTGGCCAGAGTGGATGGGAAGGGGAGCTGAGCAGTGAAGACAGTGGAGCAGTAATAACATGGGTTTCTGGAGAAAATTCAGGAGGTGCAGTAGAAAACCTCTTAAGGACGAAGAAACATCCTAAGGGGAATATGAGGTGACCATGGCTGACTAAGGAAGTCATGGACAGTATAAAAGGAAAAGAAAAAGCATACAATGTGGTGAAGATTGGTGGGAAGCCAGGAGATTGGGAAGCTTTTAAAAACCAACAGAAGACAACTAAAAAGTAGTCAGAGGGGAGAAGATGAAATGAGGGTAAACTATCTAGTAATATAAAAGAAGATTTATTAGATATTTAGATATACAAAAGGTAAAAGAGAGGTAAGAATGGATGTTGGGCCACTAGGAAATGAGGGTGGAGAAGTAATAGTGGTGAATGAAGAAATAGTGGCAGAATTGAATAGGTACTTTGCATCAGTCTTCAGTGTGGAAGACACTAGTGGCGTACTAGAACTTCGAGAGTCAAGGGCACAGGTGAGCGTAGTGACCATCACTAAGTAGAAGGTGCTGGGGAAGCTGAAAGATCTGAGTGTAGATCAATCACCTGGACTGATGGACTACATCCCAGAGTGTGGGAAGGTCTGAGGTTATGCAATGAGGTTGGAAGAATAGAGGTGTAAACTATTTTCTAAATGGAGAAAGGCTTTGGAAATCTGAAGCACAAGAAAAGGTGGGAGTCCTATTTCAGGATTCTCTTAAGGTTAACATGCAGATTCAGTTGGCAGTTAGAAAGGCAAATTGAATGTTAGAATTCATTTTCAACAGGACTAGATTACAAGAGCAGAGATTAACTACTAATGTTGTATGAGGCTCTAGTCAGACCGCATTTGGAATATTGTGAGCAGTTTTGGGCCCTGTATCTAGGGAAGGATGTGCTAGCCTTGGAGGGTGTCCAAAGGAGGTTCACAAGAATGATCCTGGGGGTGAAGGACTTGTTATATGAGGAGCAACTGAGGATTCTATGTCTATACTTGATGGGGTTTAGAAGGATGATGGGGAATCTTAATTTAAATTTACAGAATACTGAGAGGCCAGGATAGAGTGAATATGGAGAGACCGCTGGAGAAACGAGGACCCAAGGGCATAGTGACTATTTAGAACTGAGATGAGGGAGAATTTCTTTAGCCAGAGAAAGGTGAAACTGTGGAACTCATTGCCGCAGAAGGCTGTGGAGGCCAAGTTATTGAGTGTTCTTGGTTAATGAGGAGATCAGGGAAAAGGCAGGAGAATTATATTGAGAAATGTATCAGCCAGATTGAATGGTGGAGCAAATTCAATGGGCTGAATGGCCTAGTTTTCCTTCTATATTTTATGGTCTTATGGTCAGTCTCTCTTCATTTCTGTCAGTCCTGCCAACCCAGGAATCAGTCTGGTAAACCTTCATTGCACTGCCTTTGTAACCAGAACATCCTTCCTCAGATAGTGAGACCAAAACTGTGTACAGTTCTCCAGTTGTGGCCTCACCAAAGCTCTATACAACTGCAGCAAGACATCCCTCTTATGCACTCAAAATCTTATCATGAAAGCCAGCATACCAATTGCCTTCTTCACTATCTGCTGCATATACATTAGTCAGAACAAAGATTGACACTGTCTTATCAAGTGCCTGATGGGCACAAGATCTGCTATGCCTTCTTTCTGCAATGGGCAGGTAAGTGAGGAAAATTGAAAATTTTATTTTTCTTACTATCTGTTTGTGTAAAAACAGGTAAAACTACCTGCTTTAATTCTGTTTCTCCCATTTTGAAACAGGCTGCGGGGTGTTTTCCCCAAACCCTTTATCTGTGAAGTCCAAATTAAAAATGACGCATAACAAACTTTTCTTAGGATTCATTCAGAAGTATGGTTTATTTGTACATTCAAAACTGGGGCCCAGTTGTCATACCCACTCTCTCACATGCGCGTGCATGCACGCACACACACAGTCTCACACATACTCTCACACAAACACACACACACACACACACACACACACACACACACACACAGTCATTCAGGGAGCAAAAAAGGAAAACAAAATTTACTGTTTAGAATAACACAAGATTGTCAGTGTCCAGAGAAGCTTCTTTCCTCTTGGAAACCAGATTTAGGTGTGTTCAGTTGATGGATGCATAGCAATATGCAGCCGGTGTATGGAGACATGGTCCACGTTTCAGTCAAATACAAAATTTTATGAGATTTATTTGGACTTGAACCAGGTGCAGCTGTTATCCTGCAGTGTGGCTAGCGTGTTACCAGCTGGTGAGATTCTTAGCAGACTGGATGTTAACAACAGACTGGGACAAGAATGTTCCAGATATTACTATTAAACCCTTCGGCGACCAGCGGGGTTTTGGTCATTGGACTATTAAGAAGTCAGTTTCAACTTATTGATTTTTTTCTATCCCTCTGGCCAAGAATCCATTATTCATTCCAAAGTTAGGTAATGTGCCATTAGTGCTTAATTTCAAGAGCTTGTTTTGTTAGCATTCCTTGCAGGGGAGACATACTGTCTACTGTTATTTATGTAGATGTTGCAGTCAACAAACATTAATGAAAGGGATGAGATTCCAGAAGGTTGGTGTCTAAGCTCTGACCTTTGTAGTTGCCATTGGAATATTTCAAAATTGTGGTTAACTGTTAGGTCAGTTAATGTTAATTTTAAATCTGAGATAGGTAATATCTTTCCTTAACCACAAGATATTTAAGGGATATGGGTCAAAGATGGTTTGTGGATTTAGGCCACAGATCAGCCATGATTTCATTGAACAGAGGAACAGGCTTCAAGGGCTAAATGCATTACTCCTACAAGTTTCTATGTAACTTGCATCATGTGATTGGCCATTTTTAGTACAGCAAAGGTCACTTTTGAAAATTTAAACATGGAGGTATGGCTTTTAAAATAATTTTAGAACTTCTGAGAGTGAGTGCATGTGTCTCAGTGTTCTTTTTAGGCAACACATCAGATACCCAACAAAATGGGAGGATTGTGGCTCATCTCACTTTGTGAACTCCAAAGAAAGTTTTTCTAATATATTGTCCCTTTTCATGAGTTTTATTACTTATGTCTAATAAATGCTTCATCTACATTCAATGTTTTGATGATGATATTTGGCAGTTTTTCACTGAAATGCATTTTAGTACTTCAAAATAAAAATTGCCTCAAATAAATGTTGAAACATTTTAAAAGTAAAAAAAGGAACTTCTGTAACAATGACAATGTGTTACAAATCTATCGGGAAAATGGAAAACTATTTGTGAATAATCTCCACCCCATTTCAGAGCCTTCACACGCGGTACATTTCTTCTTATTTGAAAGCATCCTTTAACATAAACTTGTTGGGAAGAAGCAACCAGCTGGAAACAAGCTTGAACCCTGTCTGATCACCCTCCCTGCACTCGTGGGATGGGGTGCAGGGCTAAACTACCCTTAATTATCAATTCCAAATTGAAGATTAATTGAAGCATTCAGTGCTGCTTTGTTAAATTCATCCAATCATATAATCAGCAAAACAGAGATGAAGGCCCCATGGTGTCCATGCTAGCCTTTGACAGAAGTAATTCACACACTGTCCATCCCCACTCTTTCTCCGTGTCCTTAAATATTTGTCCCTGCTCAGATATTTAGAACATTTAGAAAATGTAGAAACATTTACAGCATAGAATAAAGTTACTCTGTCCATTTTGTCTTTGCTAGCTGAAAAACAAACAACCTGGCCTGATCTAATTTTCAGTACTTTAATCGGTACCCCTGGAGGTTACAAGATTTCATTGCACATCCAAATTGCCTTTTGAATAAGTTGAGAGTTTCTGCCTTTGCTAATCTTCCAAGTAGTGAGTTTCAAACCCCTACCACCCTTTGGATGAAGAAAAGAATCTCCTCTTCTTCCCCCTAATTGTTCTACAAAGTACCATGATGTGGCAAAAATACGTAATGAATGATAACTCTTATTACTCAGCAACATGCTATTTGTCTTGTTAAAGTTTATTTGTTATCTTGTATTTGTTGTAAGTTATTTAGGTAATCTTGTGTTTTTAGTATATCCATGATTTATTTCTCTTAACATGTCAAGGTAAACTAGTTCCGTTCCATATTGCAGGTGAAAGAATTATAGATCTGGATACTGATTTTGTGGATATTACACCTGAATCAGATTATGCACAGGAAACCAGAAGAACATGCCAACCACATAAAAATGAACTGGACATTTATTCCTTAAGTCACAACTTAACTCTGCCCCAGTTGAAGGTAATTGTACACAATAATCAGTGGTAGAAATACTTATATCTAAGTAGTAAACTACAAAGCTGGTTGAATTACATCAAACCGAAGGAAGTCAAAATCTTTGTGAGGTGTCCAATTTATTTTTAGTTCTTTGTTAAGACTCAGTTGCGAAGAGCATGCTGATAATCAGGCCCCAGTGTTCCACAAGTAATTGTAAATTTGTAAACATCCAATTAACTCATCAAGCTGATCAATTTGCTTGACTGATTTGATTTAGGACAAAAGTAATTCACACCAGGTTTCATCATTCGTAGAAAAATAATAATTTATTGTAAACAAACTTATTCCGGCAAGTAAGATTGGATTACTAATTTACTATCCTGCAACTTAAACTAGACTGCTTTAAAACCTCAAACACACATACATTTAATTACAAATAAGACAAACAAAAGACAGATTGTTTGACACAACTATTATGAGTGAAAAAGTATAGACAGGAAAAACAAAATTCTGTATATCAAAAGTCTTGGCCACAATGTAAAATTTAATTCTCCATTCTTTTGATCACAGCAATGATGACATAGTTTTGGCTGCACAGCAATAGTCGACCTGTGATTCAGTGGCTGATTGGCTGGACCTAGGTCTTTTTTTGTAATATAATCCTTTCTTTTGAGTCTATAGGTCTTTTTGTCCTTTGACTCAAAACAGAAAGAAGGAAGAGAGAGAGAGAGATGTTTTCTATTTCCTGATTCTGGATGTTCCTAGCTGTACTGCTCTCACAAGTCCATAACACACTGCAACTAAATGAATCTGAGGACTATCATCAGGCAGGTTGTCCTTGTGCTGCTCTATTTCATAATATAACAATCACACTGCACCAAAAGCAACAAAGTATTGAGGGACTTCAATATGCAGGTGGGCTGAGAAAATCAGGTTGGAAGTGGATCATAAGAAAAGGAATTTCTGGAATTTCTGCATGATGCTTTTTTTTTTGGAGCAGCTTGTGGTAGACCCCCACCAGGAAATAGGCAATTCTGGGTTTGGTGATGTGCATTGAGGCAGACTTGATTAAGGAGCTTTAGATCAAGGAATCCCTTGGGGACAGTGACCACAATATGACATAATTCACTGTGCAGATTGAGAGGGAGAAGCTAAAATTAGATGTAGTAGTATTACAAAGGTAACTACAAAGATATGAAGCGGAGATAACATAGTGTGGAGCTGGAGGAGCACAGCAGGCCAGGCAGCATCGGAGGAGCAGGGAAGGTGATGTTTCAGGTCGGGACCCTGCTTCAGAAGAAGATTTCTGAAGAAGGGTCCTGACCCGAAACGTCAACTTTCCTGCTCCTCCGATGCTACCTGGCCTGCTGTGCTCCTCCAGCTCCAAACTGTGTTATCTCTGACTCCAGCATCTGCAGTTCTTACTACCTCTACGATATGAGGAGGAGCTGGCCAGAGTCGATTGGAAGGGGAGCCTAGCAGGGAAGACAGTGGAGCACTAATGGCAGGGGTTTTGGTGGGGACATCAGGAGGTACAGCAGAAATTCATCCCAAGGAAGAAGAAACATCCTAAAGAGAGGACAAAGCAACCATGGCTCACAACAGAAGTCAGGGACAGTAAAAAAGCGAAAGAAAAAGCGTACAATCTGGTGAAGATTGGTGGGAAGCCAAAGGATTGGAAACCTTTTAAAACCAGAAGAGGATAATTAAAAATGCAATAATGGGGAAGAAGATGAAATATAAGAGTAAACTAGTGAATAATATAAAAGAAGATTACAAGAGGCAAGAACGGACATTGGACTGCTGCAAAATGAGGCAGAGCTCGGGAAGCTGAAAACTGAAGGTGGATAAATCACCCAGACCGGATAGATGCACGAGAAATCTGAAGGAGATTTTTCAGGAATCACTGGAGTCAGGGAGGGTCCCAGAGGACTGGAAAATGGCTAAAGTAACACCTTGTTTTAGAAGGGAGGGAGGCAGAAGACAGGAAACTATGGGCTGGTCAGCCTAACCTCAGTCATTGTTAAGATTTTACAGTTCATTATTAAGGATAAGATTGCAGAGGACCTGGAAGTGCATGGTGAAATAGGGCTGAGTTAACACGGCTTCATCAAAGGGAGGTCATGCCAGGAAATTCTGTGAATTCTTTGAGGAGGTAATGAGCAATTAGATAAAGGAGAGCCAGTGGACATGATCTATTTGAATTTCCAGGTGTTTGATAAGCTCTTTTTTTTCCTTTATTCATTCATGGGATAAGGGCGTCGCTGGCTAAGCAGCATTTATTGCCCATCCCTAATTGCCCAGAGGGCAGTTAAGAGCCAACCACATTGCTGTGGGTCTGGAGTCACATGTAGCCAGACCAGGTAAGGATGGCAGTTTCTTTCCCTAAAGGACATTAGTGATGGGTTTTTCTGACAATTGACAATGGATTCAGGTCATCATTAGATTCTTAATTCCAGATTTTTTAATTGAATTCAAATTCCACCATCTGCCATGGCGGGATTCAAACCCAGGTCCCCAGAATATTATCTGGGTCTCTGGATTAACAGTCCAGCGATAATATCACTAGGCCATCACCTCCCCATCAAAGGTGTCACACAGGAAGTTACTTAATAAGATAAGAGCCCATGGTGTTAGGGGCAAAATATTAGCATGGATCGAGGATTGGCTTACTTTCAGAAGGCAGAGCGTGGGTATAACGGGGTCATTTTCAGGATGGCAGGCAGTTACTAGTGGACTTCTGCAGGGGTCAGTGTTGGGACTACAACTATTTACATTACAAAATAAACATTCTGGACAAAGGAAATGAGGGCATTATTGCTAAGTTTGCACATGGCACAAAGATAGGTTGAGGGTTAGGTAATGTTAAGGAAACAGGAAGGCTGCTGAAGGACTTGGATTGGCAAGGATAGTTGGCAAAGAAGAGCAGATGGAATATAATTTGGGAAAGCATTTTATTAAAGGGGAAAAGATTTAGAAATCTGAAGCATAAAAGGCCTTGGGAGTCCTATTTCAGGATTCTCTTAAGGTTAACATGCAGGTTCATTTGGCAGTTAGGAAGGCAAATGCAGTGTTAACATCCATTTCAAGAGAGCTAGAAAACAAGAGCAGAAGTGTACTGCTGAGACAGTAAAAGACTCTGGTCAGACTGCATTTAGAATATCGTGAGCAGTTTTGGGCCCTGTATCTGAGGAAGGATGTTGTGGCCTTGAAGGAGGTCCAGGAGAAGTTCATGAGAATGATCCTGAGATGAAGGGCTTGTACTTTGTGGAGCAGTCAAGGACTCGAGGTCTGTACTTGATGGAGTTCAGAAGGGGGCTCTCACTGAAGCTTACAGAATATTGAGAGGCCTGAATAGATTGAATGTGGAGAAGAAGTTTCCATTAGAAGGAGAGACCAGGATCTGAGGACACATCTTCAGAGTCGAGGGATGATACTTTAGAACAGAGATGAGGAGGAATTTCTTCAGCTAGAGGTTGGTGAACCTGTGGGACTCATTCCCACAGAAGGCTGTGGAGGACAAATCATTTAGTCTAATTAAGACAGATAGATAAGTTTTTGTATCAGAGATAGTAGGAACTGCAGATGCTGGAGAATCTGAGATAACAAGGTGTAGAGCTGGATGAACACAGCAGGTCAAGCAGCATCATAGGAGCAGGAAGGCTGACGTTTTGGGCCTAGACCCTTCATCAGAAATGGGGGAGGGGAAGGTGGTTCTGAAATAAATAGGGAGAGAGGGGGAGGCGGATAGAAGATAGATAGAGGAGAAGATAGGTGGAGAGGAAACAGACAGGTCAAAGAGGCGGGGATGGAGCCAGTAAAGGTGAGTGTACGTGGGGAGGTAGGGAGGAGATAGGTCAGTCCAGGGAGGACGGACTGGTCAAGGGGGCGGGATGAGGTTAGTAGGTAGGAAATGGGGGTGCAGCTTGAGGTGGGAGGAGGGGATAGGTGGGAGGAAGAACAGGTTAGGGAGGCGGGGACGAGCTGGACTGGTTTTGGGATGCGGTAGGGAGAGGGGAGATTTTGAAGCTTGTGAAATCCACATTGACACCATTGGGCTACAGGGTTCCCAAGTGGAATATGAGTTGCTGTTCCTGCAACCTTCGGGTGGCATCGTTGTGGCACTGCAGGAAGCCCAGGATGGACATGTCATCTGAGGAATGGGAGGGGGAGTTGAAATGGTTCGCGACTGGGAGGTGCAGTTGTTTATTGTGAACTGAGCGTAGGTGTTCTGCAAAGCGGTCCCCAAGCCTCCGCTTGGTTTCCCCGATGTAGAGGAGGCCACAACGGGTATAGTGGATGCAGTATACTACATTAGCAGATGTGCAGGTGGACATCTGCTTGATGTGGAAAGTCTTCTTGGGGCCTGCGATGGGGGTGAGGGAGGAGGTGTGGGGGCAGGTGTAGCACTTCCTGCAGTTGCAGGGAAAAGTGCCAGGTGTGGTGGGGCTGGAGGGGAGTGTGGAGCAGACAAGGGAGTCACGGAGAGAGTGGTCCCTCCGGAAAGCAGATAAGGGTGGGGAGGGAAAAATGTCTTTGGTGGTGGGGTCGGATTGCAGATGGCGGAAGTGTCAGAGGATGATGTGTTGGATCCGGAGGTTGGTGGGGTGGTACATGAGGACGAGGGGGATTCTTTTTTGGTTGTTGTTGTGGGGACGGGGTGTGAGGGATGAGTCGCGGGAAATGTGGGAGACACGTTGGAGGGCGTTCTCGACCACGGAGGGGGGGAGGTCGCGGTCCTTGAAAAACAACGACATCTGAGATGTACGGGAGTGGAATGCCTCATCCTGGGAGCAGATGCGGCGGAGGCGAAGGAATTGGGAATAGGGGATGGCATTTTTGCAGGAAGGTAGGTGGGAGGAGGTGTATTCTAGGTAGCTGTGGGAGTCGGTGGGCTTGAAATGGATATCCGTTTCTAGGTGGTTGCCCGAGATGGAGACAGAGAGGTCCAGGAAGGTGAGAGAGGTGTTAGAGATGGTCCAGGTGAATTTACGGTTGGGGTGGAAGGTGTTGGTGAAGTGGAT